ACACACATAGATTTTCAGGAGCTCAGCAACTCATTTCTCTTTGCAAATTCCAAAGCAGCTCAGGTCTTGCAAGACGCTCTAGATAGGCTGTTCTTTTTTTTGGGGGGGGGGAATGGCTGGATCTATTCCCACACAGACAGAAGACTCACTTTAAGACAGTTTACTCCCAGCAAAACTACCCTTTCTGGTGTGATCAGCTGGGATCCTCCCTTGACGTTGCGTTGCATGCTGATTTAATTCTTCTGTTTCAAAGAAATTTGTTTGTTTCTCTCTTTTTTTTCCTTTAAAGGGAAAGCTTTGCTCAGCTGAAAGGTATGTTTGCTATCAATAACAGGATGTGGAAAGGAGCAACAGAAACTAAAACTTTTCTGTGATGGGGGAAAACTGTATCCATTTCTATGCTTCCTGTCTGATTGAAAGCTTCTTTTTTTCACCTTCCTACTATCACAGGCAGGAGAACTCCGAATGACATTTAAAGGAGAAAGTAGGTGGGAGAGGCTAATGACAAGTAATGTTGTCATTAGCTTCTATTTATGGTAAATCCCCAGGCTCTGAAAATTTCTGCCTTTTTCTCTCCTCCATACACACAATAAAAACGCTCTCTTTTTCTCTTCTATTAATAATAATCCTCACATGCCTTCAAGTTGGTTCTGACTTACAGCTGCCCTTTTCAAGGTTGTCTAGGTAGAGAATACTCAGAAGTGGTTTCCCATTCCCTTCCTCTAGGGGGAGCCCTGGGACTGTGCAGCTTGCCCAAGGCTACCCAGGCTGGCTCTGTTCATGGAAGGCACAGTGAGGAATTGAACTCCCAACCTCTCACTCTGCAGCCACATTACCTAAACCACTGGGCTATCCAGCCAGCTCTTAGACAGCTTCGTTTAAAACATTCAGAAGTGATTTATCATTCCCTTCTTCAGGGGCCATTCTGGGACCATCCAGCTTACTCAAGGCTACACAGGCTGGTTTCTCCCGCCAGCAGGCCCAGGTGGGGAATCAAACTCCCAACTTCTGGTTCCACAGTCAGATACCTAAGCCACTGAGCTATCTAGCCAGCCAGTTCTGTAATTCAATGGCCCCACAAAAGGGATCAGGAGCATTTTTTTTGACTTGACACTAAGCAATCCCTTTAGATTCATCATGAATCATTCTGCCAATGATAAGGTGAACTGTTTATTCCATCATCTCTAACCATCACTATTGTTCCTCTCCTTATGACTGCTGAGAAAGATACATGCTTTGTATGTTAAAAAAAACATTAACAGAAACAAGCATGCACCAGAAATAGCAAAATGTGGGGTGGGTGGGTCTCCCTGTATTTTTTTTTTTTCAGACAAATATTTTCCGTGGCTACTAACCTAGATGTTTTGAGCAGCTAGCTGGTCTGACTCCCCATAAAAACGAAAAACAAAAAATTGCCCAGTTTTCCAAAACTAATAAATTAAGACAACCAAAGAGAGATCCAAACACCCTTTTGCCTGGAGGAAAAAAAATCTATTGATTGCAGCACATTTGAATTTTAGATTGCCAAGCGCCTCCATTTTTCAAACAGCTCCCGTTTGATGCTCAAGGTCAGGAAAGTCAATTGAAACTTAATTCTCCTCTTCTTTGATTTATGGCGGCTTTGACTTTAAGTACCTGATTCAGGACAGATTCCATTGTTTCGTGTTGAAAACAGATGGAGAGAGCTATTTTTCTGAGGATTTCACCTTGAATAATGGCTGTATGTGTTTTATCATGTTACGCTGCCGTATTTTAATAGAAAGTATTATTCACTCTTGTTTCCTCTCATGGCATGCTCATACGTTAGCAGGAAATGCAGCTTCTCCGCAAGGCGAAAGGTCTCTGCTTCAAAGCTGCCCATTTTCTTGAGCGAGGTTAATAACTACAATTTTCTACTATTATCACACTGTCTGTAGTCAACCATTAATTGTTTCATTTCTATGCTGTTTACACTAGACATGCTCCAGCAAATCCCAAACACGGAAATTTGAGATGCATTAGAGAAGTTTTTAACCCTCCGATTTCTGGGCTTCCGACCACAAACTTTGTAGTGCCACAGCCAGAAGACTAATGCAAGGAAATACAGTGGTATGCTATAGTTCTCCTCTATATCCAGACTTGCTTGCATTCATAGGTCATATGCATAGACTTCCATTTTTGGATAAGCCGTCAATGTGTCTTCCTTAGCCTAAGCAGAAGCTGGTTTTTAGTTCTACAGCGCTATTCTACATTTTCATTTCTCCTCTCCTTCACAACAATTGCCTGGGGAAAGGAAAGCTAATTACCAGTCAAAGCTGTGCTAGTCAGATTTTTATTATTACAGTGGGGTCTCTACTTAAGAACTTAATCCGTATTGGAAGGTGGTTCTCAAGTTGAAAAGTTCTTATGTTGAATCTGCATTTCCCATAGGAATGCATCGAAAACCATTTAATCCGTATCTGCTCTTTTCCGTCCATAGAAACTACAGTCGAACTTAATCCGTTTTGGAATGGTGTTCTTAAGTTGAAACGTTCTTAAGTTGAAGCAAAATTTCCCATAGGAATGGACTGAAAACCAATTAATCCGTTCTGGCTGTTGTTTTTTTTTGTTATGTAGAGGTGTGTTCGTACATTGAAGCATTAGTTCCCATAGGAACTAATGCAAAGCTGGTTAATACGTACTCTACCATTAGGGGGAGAATTTTTTTTAACCTAAGATGACCTAAGGTTAAAAAAAGAGCAGGAAAGGTTTTTTTTCCTGTTCTTATCTTGGATTTCTGTTCTCAAGTAGAAGCAAAATTTAGCAAATGGAGCTGTTCTTAAGTTGGATTGTTCTTAAGTAGGGACGTTCTTAAGTAGAGACCCCACTGTATTGTTATTTTTGACCACAGATCTCATAACTTAAGAGCTGGCCAAAAGCTGATCAATTCTGAACACCTGGACCTGGGAATTCAAGATGTTCTCTACATGGTTTCTAGCCACGTTCTCTGAAGACACACATGCTATTCTGTGGCCAGTTAGTGAGGATTTCTAATGATCAATATTCCAGTTAGACAACTACCCTTCGATCAGATTGTCATTTAAAAAGGGATGTGTTGTGATCTTAGCCAAAGGCCAGGCGCATGTTGTCTATAAGGGTCTATGTTGGGCCATTGTTCAGCTATACCACAGGCCAGAGTAGAAGGTGCTGTTTAGACGATGTGTCGAAACCACAAGGTATGTGAGGACTTGGAATGGAACAATGCTACCTCTGCTTTCAAGAGTTCCCAGAGTCAGTAGGGGTTTTAGGTTGTATCCTTGCTTTGTTCCATCCTTTTGCTATAGTTAGTTTTTTATCCTTTTTCGTACTATTGTGTCCTATTGTATGCTTATTTCACTAAGCTTCTCTCTTTCCCCTTTTCTTTCAGCAAATGTTTGTAGATTCTTTTTTCTTCATTAGCATGTCATTGAACTGTGTCAAAAAGAATATTCTTGTCTGTGGCAAGACAGTCCCAGTATAATAATTTTCCCCAAATCATTTCCTGGCTTAGATTAAGTTCAAAGCTATGGAAAAATGTACTAATTTTATGTAGTTAATATACATAAAAAGGGGGACGTGGTGGCACTGCAGGTTAAACTGCAGAAGACTAGCAGTCATAAGATCTAATCTACGCAACAGAGTGATCTCTCGTCACTTGTCCCAGCTCCTGCCAACCTAGCAGTTCGAAAGCATGTAAAAATGCAAGTAGATAAATAGGTACCACCTCAGTGGGAAGGTAACGGCACTCCATGTCTATCCGTGCTGGCCATATGACCACGGAAACTGTCTATGGACAAACACTGGCTCTACGGCTTGGAGCCGGGGATGAGCACCACGCCCTAGGGTCGGACACAACTGGACTAAATGTCAAAGGGAACCTTTACCTTACACATAAAAAACACAACTAAAGATACTCTACATATACAATATACATGTACTGTGCTCTCCCTCCCCATGACTAATGGAGATGATCTGTTTTCTTCCTTTGATGGAGCCCCATTTCCCTTCCAAAAATACATTGACTCTTGGGAAGGTAAACAACAAAGTCAATAAATTCTCTCCATATATCTCTAAACACATTCTGATTTAACATTCCTTTACTTACTTTAATTTTACATTGTAATTTATCATTAACAGCTATATTCCACAAAAAGTCTGCTCCGTGTTTCCATGCACTTCATACTCTACAAACTCTGGGAATGAGTAGCAGACCAGGAGATGGGACTGAAGGTCAAACCCGGAGGCAGAATGGTGACCAACTAGGGAATCAGGACGAAAAGGAAGATCAGGAGACAAGACTGTGGACCAAGCCAGGGATGGGGCTTGAAGGAAGAACCAGGAGAGAGAATGGTGGGCCAAGTGAAGAATCAGGTGGAAAATACAACACCCAGGAGGCATGATTGAATAGCAAGCCAGGAATCGGATATTGAGGATGATCCAAGATGGAGAAGAAAGCCAGGAGTCAGGAGTCAAAGATGGACCTTGAAGCAGGGCTGAGAAAGAGCCAAGAATCAAGACTTAGAAGGAAGCAGGAAGCAGAATGTGGGGTGGTTGGACCCAAAGACGAACCAGGAGGTGAGGTCAAGAAGTAGACCAGGAATCATACCAAAGTAGACCAGGAATCATACCAAAGTAGACCAGGAATCATACCAAAGTAGACCAGGAATCATACCAAAGGACCACCCAGGAGGGCGAATTGTCTGAACTGAAATCAAGAGACCGAACCGAAGACTGAGCAATTTGAGAAGATCTAAAAGGCAGAAATGAAACAAAGACTGAGCAATTTGAGAAGATCTAAAAGATCTGAAACGTGTGGGTCTGGAGAAGCTCTTGTTGCTCAGATTTCACTGGGAAAGGAAACGATGCCCGTGTCCTCCTCCCAAGAGCATCCAATCAGATACTCAGTTCACTTCTACGTGAATCACTGTTTAAGTCCCGCTGCTTCACCTAATCTTCCCTACATGCTAAGCTCAGGACCCATGTCATGCAGAACACGAGCTTACTTTCCCATCAGGATGTTCCAGCACTGCTGCATACACCGGTGATATTTCCCCGGAGGCGCTTCCTAATCCAAAACCAAACAAATTAGCTTAATTAGGGAATCGCGCTTCGGAATACAAGGCAACAACCCCTCCCAACTCTGCCCCCATCTCTATGATTCAAAACGCATTTCGCTGTTATTCCATTCACCAATTGATTTTCTGCTATGACCACTCTTCGCTCCCCTTCTTGGCTGTCCATACTGGAGTAATTGATGGTTAACATTTATCATAGCATCAGAGTGACAAGGTGGGTGGGTGGGGGAAGCATCCATCTCTCAATACATTTATTGGCTCCTGCCCTGATGAGTAGGTGTTTCATTGAGCTCCTTTATAAACATCAAATGATGCCACTGGATGGTTACTTGTCATCCAACAGAGCAGTAGGAACTGGAGGCTGAGGTTAGGCTCCCCGCCATCCAAGGCTGCTGACTCTAAAGTCAATAAGACTGTGAATCTGAGGTTCTGAACCTTCTTCTCAAAGCTCAGCCCCTTGGATATCTTCTTTAAAGTTCGGATCAAAACCCAAAGGGAATTTGCCACTCTGTGAATCCAGCATCACCAAACCCCACTGGCTGATGAGTTTGAAAAATGGGCATTTGTGTCCTACTTACAGTATCTCGGCTCTGCCTGAAAATAAAAATGTTGCAACATCTGGATCTCAAGGCCGCAAGGGTCTGGGCTGGATAATAACTCTCCTTGATTGCTCAAAAGGGCGAGCTGCACAGTCAAGGAATCTGGGTTTGTAAGGAAATCAGCCCAACAAAGCATTTTTTCAAAACTACCCGTGCCTTTTGCTTATGACAGGTATTTGTAGCTGAGTGCATCGGTCTGCTGAGCACAGGGATGACTGTAGCAGCTCAATTAGCTCTGTCCCAAGCAGTAAGAGGGATGAATAGCAGAGAAGCAGCTCCGAAAACCTGGAGGTAAGCAAATGCTGTGCTTTTAATGAACAGCTTTTTCACACCTTCAGTTTATTGTCCCTGTTGCTCCATTAAGGAAGAAATTTGCAACAGTTGGCAAATATTTTTACAGTGATCCATCTCTGGAGCACCCCAGATAATACGGGCAATAGCTCAGTGGCTGTACTCATACTTTACATGCAGAAGATCTTGGTCCCCATTGGAGGAGTGGTTTCCAACCTTGGGACCTCAGGTGTTCTTGGGCTAAAATGTCCAGAAGCCTTTACCACTAGCTATGCCGGCCAGGACTTCCTGGAGTTGTAGTTGAAGAACATCTGGGCACCCAAGGCTGAGAACCACTGCATTAGAAGATCTGTGAGTAGACTCGGGGAAAATCTCTTATCTGGAGAGATTCAGTTTCAGTCAGCACTGGAAAGAATGGGCCAATGATGTGACAATGATGTGATAAGACAGCTTCCCATTTTCTGAAGCAATGGGGGCCCGTCTTTAGCCTTCTTTAAAACATTGTAGTAGCTCAGTAGCTTTAACCCTTGGAACAATGAAAATTGCAAGAATGGTTATCACTCGGGGAAAATCTCTTATCTGGAGAGATTCAGTTTCAGTCAGCACTGGAAAGAATGGGCCAATGATGTGACAATGATGTGATAAGACAGCTTCCCATTTTCTGAAGCAATGGGGGCCCGTCTTTAGCCTTCTTTAAAACATTGTAGTAGCTCAGTAGCTTTAACCCTTGGAACAATGAAAATTGCAAAAATGGTTATCAACTCATCTTCTCTTTCTTTTTCTCTCTTTTTTTTGCTAGTATCTTATCGTTAAGATCTATAAAACTTGACCTTTCCAGTACAGTTAATTGTTCAGGTGCTGGGTTACATCTTGGCATGAGAATCGGACATATCAGAAGACGTGTAGCGGAGATACATCTTGGCATCTCATTAACTAGCCACTATTAGCCGCTACAAGTATGCAACTCTTAGACAAACACTAAGAGGATTCTGGCAGATATATTTGCTTACATATTATTACCGAGGACGGCTTATACATCTGACTATGTAGCCAGAGGCTAGGAGTTTGATTCCCCCACTGTGCTTCACATATCAGAAGACGTGTAGCGGAGATACATCTTGGCATCTCATTAACTAGCCACTATTAGCCGCTACAAGTATGCAACTCTTAGACAAACACTAAGAGGATTCTGGCAGATATATTTGCTTACATATTATTACCGAGGACGGCTTATACATCTGACTATGTAGCCAGAGGCTAGGAGTTTGACTCCCCCACTGTGCTTCGCTGACAGGGGCTGGACGCGATGATCCGTAGGGTCCCTTCCAGCTACTGCAGTTCTAAGATTATACTCTAAGATAAAACAACAGCTAACCTACATATGGGCTTTAGAAGTACTAAACCTTCAATCTTGACCAAAAAACAAGGACGCCTGCTGGTTAAGTGCTTTGGCTCTGAACATCATGACCTGATTTGTTGCTGATTAGGAGAGAAATTCCTCAGATCTTTAGAAAAGTAGAACTTTACGGATTTAGAGAGTTGGCATCTTATCATTTCATGGCCTGAATGTATAGGATAACAGCGAACATAACACCCCGCTTTGCAGTCCTGTGTCCTCTCCGTTCTTGCATAGCCACCTTGGAAACAAACAACTTTCATTAAGAGCAACTGAAGAAGGCACAAGCTACAATATTTAAATTTTCTGTTTTACGGATCACTCCACTTAAGATATTCCTATTCTTTATTTCTTCCTAGCCTGTCATTCTTCCAGTAAGTTCAAAGCACTGTCTGTGGCTGTCGATCCCTGTACTTGCTCGTCACAACACCACTGTGATGGAAAGTTGGGTGAGAAAAGTACGACCGGTCCAAAGTCACCCAGCAAATCTGACTTCGGGGTCAGAGTGTTGACTTTCGCTCACCTCCACCACTGCCACTAGGTGGCTCCACTTAGACAGGACAAGGTGGATGGGGAGAACTCTACCTGGGAATGGGAGGAGGACGACAAGAGGGAAAGGGGTGAACAGGAAAATAGGGGGAACTTGAAGCTATTCTCCTCCTGCAAATCTCTGTACTTCTGCTGTGTATCAAAGGAATTTTACAAGAAATTCAGAACTCTGCAGCATGAATTATATAATTACCTCTGTAAAGTTCTTCCTTCCTTCCTTCCTTGAATGCTGTCCATTTGCTGAAAAAGTCTGAGGGTTTATTTTTCTCCTTTTCTTCTGCAGAACTCTCCCGCCCCCTGGGATCTGCCACAAAGCAAAGCAATCAGGCAAAAAGATTTATGACAGTCATTTGTTTACACAAATATATTCATAGACATTTTGAGATCCCTCCTCTGTCTTTTCGCTTTATTTAGTGTGAAGGCACAAGCTGTTCCCGAGTCACACTTATGCATTTTTCATAAATCAGACGCCACTGATATCATCATTAAGAAACAGACATATTCTCGGGTTGTTGGTTTTTTTACACAAAGGGGAATGGGGTGGATGGTTAAGGTTACCTTTTTAAGTCTGAATTTTAATGGAAAGGAAGACTACAGTCATGGTCAATGGTGGAGTAAAAGGAAAAAAAATCTAGCATGAATGGTAAATTGTGTATGAAGTAGTACTTGTATATTTCAAAGATTCTGATATAAATGCCACGCAGAAAGCTTGGGAGATTATATTTTAAAAGGCACTTGTTGAGTGCCTCCTTGCTTTCAGCAACAGAGTTGTTCCAATTGTTATCTTTGTTCAGATCAAGCAAGTATTTTATTGTGCTATCAATCTCAATGGGCCAGAAAAACATGGGAAGAGACTCTCTGTTTCCCTCTAGTGGCCAATTCTGATACTGCAACTCAGAATGTCTGTTTCTTTAAAAGACTGGTTTCTTTGCCGTTGAGAATCAAATGTGAAAAATTCTGCCCCAACCATGCCTTTACTGTACAATGGCTTGATTTTGGAAAGCTGCTTGGTGTTACTCAGCACCTCAAGCGAGGTTGGTGTTATTACTCGTACAACCATTTCATTTATTAAATTTATTAATTTAGAATATTTTTATCCTGCCTCTCTCCTGAAAAAGAACCCAAAACAGCTGACATAATAATTAAAAAGCCAATATTTAAAAGCTAAATCCAGTAAGTATACAAACATTGGAAAACAATTAAACAAGTATTATATTAAAAGCAGTAAATAAAATCAATGTAAGAAACATTTAAAACCACAAAGCACAACAATCCATTTTTTAAAAAAACCCTCTCAGAACACCAGTTATTAAGGGAATACCTGTCTGAACTACTAGTAGTAGTTACATCAAAAGTAAACAACTGTGTGTAACTAGGTAACAACTAGTTACTGGGGAAATCTGGCTGTCCTTTCCTATGTGTCCTGTACTAACGGCATGCTTCCTCTCAGTCATGGAATATTCCTCAATGCCATTCCCTGGAAATCAGATTTCCTGTAAACCAAGGAAAGGGTCTGAAAATAGAACATCATGCGAATACTCTAAAACAGTGGTTTGCAACATTTTTTCGCTTGCACACCCTTTGGCACTCCATTTACATAAGTTGTACACTTCACACTAAGGGCTGGGGCAGTTTCAATCATCTTGTCTTCAAGCCACTTCCTCCTCGCCTCCGGTAGCATGCACGAGCGCACCAGCAATGAAGAATTTTGTCCCGTGCAAATGGCTGTTGATAGAAAAGGAGGAGCAGCACAATCCATGGGTTAAGCGGCAAAACAAGAAGGGACATTTCCTTGGAGCCAAAGTTGCTTGGCTGGGCTCCCCCACTGTGGGTGAGGAGAGAATCATAGGATCATAGACTCATAGAATCATGAAGTTGGAAGGCCCCTATATGGCCATCGGGTTCAACCCCCTTCTCAGCACAGAAAAGCAAATCAAAGGAGATCTGCCAGGTGGTTGTCTACTTTTCTCTTGAAGGCCTCCAGCCTTGGAGCGCTCACCACCTCTTGAGGTCTTGGGTTCCATTGTCATACTGCTCTAACAGTTAGGAAGTTTTTCCTGATAGTCAACCAAAGTCTGGCCTTTTATAGCTTCAGTCCATTGTTGCACTCAAGGATGATTGAGAACAGATCCTCTGTATGACAGTATTTGAGCACTGCTGTCCTATCTCCCCTCAAGTCTTTTTTTCTCAAGGCTAAACATGCCCATTTCTTTCAGTGTTTACTCCTAAGGCTTGGCTTCCAGCCCCCGATCATCCTTGCTGACCTCCTCTGCGTGAACTTGCTCCTGTTTGTTGGCATCCTTCTTGAAATGGGGTGTCCAGAAGTGGACACAGGACTCGAGAGGATCGAGAAGATTCCGAGAGGTCCAGCGCAGGCGCTGACTTAACACTTTTGTGTGAATTCACAGAGGTCCACTTGAAGAACCATGGTTTCAGGTAACTAACCTGTCTTTCTCTGGTTTTGCATAACTGCGCTTCACACTCACATGTTTCCTCATGTGCTAGTCCTGAGTATTAACAGGATAGAAAGCTTTCCAGCAGCTCAAGGAGCTGTTTTTGTATAAAACAGCTCCCAGTGAAGCCAGAAATTCTGTGGAAGCAAAGAGTCAAAACCTTGGCTTGCATCCACGCTTCTTGAACCGTGTTCCTGACCCTGGACTACGCTGGTATTGGACTTTGGACTCTGACCCCGGACTACGCTGTGTATCGGACTCTGGACTTTGATGCTGGACTTCATTCTGTGAGTTGATTTATGGACATTAGCTTTGCATTCTTGGTATTCTTGACCCTGGACTGGTTTATCGGACTTTGGCTGTTGTAACCCCCGAGAACGTGACACTCAGCATGTAAATAAACAAGTTACATTTTTGATGTGCCTTGTCCTGCCAATGTTTGTCAACCTTTGGCACGCCATGTGTTTTGGACTTCAAGTCCCAGAATCCCTAGACAGTATTGTGGATGCTAAAGGACTGTGGGAGTTGCCATCTGAAACATCTGGAGCCCCAAAGTTTCTCCACCCCTGCTTCTTCTGCAATGTGAAACCTGCATGTAGGCTTCCTGCCGAATTAATCCAGAGTTGGACATGAAAGGAAAGACATTCTGCTTCCATCTAGTGGCCAGTCATGATAGTGCAGTGTGCAAATACTTTTTAAAAACTTCCAAAAGACAAATGAAAAACAAAGGTCAGTTCCTTGCCAAATATCTTACAGGCGAAGTAATTTAAGAGTACCTGAAATGGCTCACATATTAAATGTTCTCACATATTTAATGCATCTAGGCACTTGATAAAGAGTGCTCCTTGGAAGCTTACCAAAAAAATGTGATGTTTGCATCGAAGAGAAACTAGTCCAAAACTAAGATGTGACTTCATTTCTAAATGTTCCTCTCCCAGCATAATCAAATTGTGTTCCTTTGTGCATCCAGAGCACATAAAGGACCTGGGTGATTTCACGAAGGCAAGGCTACCTGCCCAGCATTTTAACAGCTTGCCGAAATAATCAGTTCAAGAGAAAACATGCAATATTCTAATTAAAAACACTTCTTTCACAGCAACTCAATCATTTTGACGGGCGCTCAGACGGATGTGGTGGACATTAGCAAATTGGATTTCTCCATTGTGGGTCCATGCCAAGGTTTTTTTCTAGAATATAATTTAGCATAATTGAGCAATTAAATCAAAATAATCTCCTAAACAAGCAGTCATCAGAGTTCTATAATTTCGGTGTGACAGATAATTTTCCTTAACAACTTTTCATCTCGGCTCTCTTTCAAAACTATGCTTGGGGTGGGGGTGTCTCCATGTCAAAGAATCACAAGCAGCATGGACCCACATAAAGTAGTCAGGTTTCTCCTGTTCCGTTTCCTTTATGGAATGGGAAGAATTGGTTCCATGGATCCCAGCTTCCTGGGTGTGATTTCCCTCCTCTTTAAGAAGGACGCTATACGCTAAGAAACAGATTTGGGGAATCGAGTTGCGGAATTCAGACTTAAGTCATACCGGTGACTTGACTCAGATCTGACTTGGAACCTACCCACTGCCTCACTTTTTCTCTTGGGAAGCTTGTTTTTAATAGGGACTTGGGACTTTATACCAAAGATTTGGAGTCAGCCTGGGGACTTGGAACCCAAAGAATTGCCAGAATCCACGCTAAGAGAGAAATAGACCAATGGGAATCCATTCTCAAGAGGAAATGAAGGTGATAGACATGTAGACCACTTTGTACCACTGATAGAAAAGAGTATCCAACACTCTGTTCTTACTATAGTCTCCATAAAAATGGGAATAAGAGGAGGGGGAATTGGAGCATGTATTAGTCGTACAGACTCCCTCACCCTTCACTTCCATACTAACACGGAAAAAATGTTTGCATGTCCTCTAATGCGAAGGGAGAAATTCAAATGTTGATAAGTTGCTAACACCAGCAACAAAAAGTAGAAATACAGAATTCTTCGCTCATTCTTAAAAATGAACATAATGTGCAGTCAAGTCAGTTCTGATTTTCAGGGTTTCCAGGTGGAGAGTACTCAGAAGTGGTTGACCCTTCTCTTCCTCTAGGGGGCGCCCTGGGACTGTGCAGCTTGCCCAAGGCTACCCAGGGTGGCTCTTCTCCCAGGAGGTGCAGTGAAGAACTTCTGGCTCCACAATGGGATATTTAAACCACTGAGCTATCCAGCCAGCTAATATTCTGACTTATGGTGACCCTTTTCAGAGGTTTCCTGGTAGAGAGTACTCAGAGGCGGTTTGCCGCTCCCTTCTTCTGGGGGAGCTCTGGAACGGTGCAGCTTGCCCAAGGCTACCCAGGCTGGCTCCACTCACAGGAGGCACAGTAAGTGACCAAACTCCCAGCCTCTGGATCTGCAGCTTGATACCTACCTAAACCACTAAACTATCCAGCCAGCGCCTTCCTTAAAAGGGATGTGTAAAATCTTATTTTGATCATTTCCCTAGATTTGGTATGAGGTTAATTCAGAAGACAGATGTCTTCAAACAAAAAAATGACTGTCTTCTGCTCATCACCCCTAAGCCAATCTATTTAGATGTCAAGCTTCCAAACAAATTTTCCATTTTCTGGCAGGCAGCATGCCGTGCCACCTAGGAGCCCTTCTTAATCCATTCATCAGTGCTTAATAGATCTCTAACTGCAAGCTACAGCTGTGAAAATCTCCAAATTACTTTTGCCCCCTCGGAGATACACGACGTTTTGTCTGGCTACACTTGCCCGCCGCAAATGTTCGGTGGTGTTTTCTCAATTTGCTTTGTTTCCTATTACTCGGTTTTACATGCAGTGGCTTGACGGGTGTCCCAGAAATGTTTGATTATCAATAGAATAAGCCAAGAACATGCCTGGCCAGAAAGAGAGGAGGGGAGGCGTTTGTAACATCCTTTGGGGTCAGAGAAAACCCTGTTTCTTCAGATCTAAGAGCTGTTCTGCTCGTGGCCACCCTGATTATGCCTTGTTTACTGAAACAAATAAAAATAATAATAGAATCATGGAACTGGAAGGGGCCGATGAGGCCATAAAGTCCAATACCCTGTTCAGTGCAGGAATCTATGTCAATGTAGTTCTGATAGATGGTTGTCCCATTTTTTCTTGAATGTCTCCAGCGTTGGAGTGCTCACCACCTCCCAAAGTCATTGGCCCCATTGTCACACTTCTCTAATAGTTTTTCCCCCTGATATTCAGCCTACATCCAGCTTCCTGTAGCCTGAGCCCTTCATTGCATGTCCTGCACTCTAAGATGATCAAGAATAGAGCCTTCCTTTCCTCTGTATGGCTATCTTTCAAGTCTTTGAAGACTTCTATCGCATCACCCCTCAGTCTTCTTTTCTCTAGGATAAACATACCCAGTTGTTTCCTCCTAGGACTTAGTTTCCAGTCCCTTAGTCACCCTTGTGGACCTCCTCTGAACTTGCTCCAGTTTGTGGTCATCCATCTTAACGTGCATTGTCCAGAACTGGATGTTAGTACTCTAGATGAACCCTAACCAGTGCAGAATGGAGGGGTCTAATACTGCCTAGGATTTGGAGACTATACTTGACATTTTTCCAACTTGCTCCAGTTTGTGGTCATCCATCTTAATGTGCAGTGTCCAGAACTGGACGTTAGTCTAACCAGTGCAGAATAGAGGGATCTAATACTGCCTAGGACTTGGAGACTATACTTGCCATTTTTCCGCATTTTTACATGCTTTTGAACTTCTAGGTTGGCAGGAGCTGGGACAAGTGATGGGAGGTCACTCCGCCGCTTGGATTCGATTTTACGACTGCAGGTCCTCTGACCTTGCAGCACAGAGGCTTCTGCGGTTTAACCCGCCGCGCCACATCTCCAAAAAGGAGACCAAAGTCTAATTATTTTGTGAGAACCTGGACATCTCAGCTGGTGCAAGGGGATATGGTTGGCAGGAGCTGGGACAAGCGATGGGAAGTCACTCCGCCACAGGGATTTGATCTTACGACTGCAGGTCTTCTGACCTGGCAGCACAGAGGCTTCTGCGGTTTAACCTACAGCGCCACCACGTCTCCAAAAAGGAAACCAAAGGTCTAATTATTTTGTGAGAATCTGGACATCTCGGCTGGTGTAAGGGGATAGCTTTGCAAGGATTCGTTTAGCATGAACAAGCTCTGGAAAATGGCCAAGAATGGGGAATAAAAAACCCTGAGTACTCTCTACATCCCTAAGGCAGAGCAATGGAGGTTTAGTTCTGGAGGTTCCTTCTGCCTGACAGCTGTTCTTTCTTCATATCTGCTTCACTTGGAAGTCTTTTGCCTTCCAGATGATCCAGGTTGAGTCTTGTCCTGGTGGAAGACCTTCTTCAGCATTCATCCATTCAGAAAGGTGTGGGATTTTTTGCTCTCCGTCGGCTTAGCCTAGCGCCTTCTGGTTTAATATTCTAGTTTATTTATCCTGGTGGTGAACAGATGAAGCTCCTTGGACATAATCACCTTGATTTTCTGGTGTTCTACTGTGCCTGGTTGACCACTCCTGTTACTCTAGGAGATTCTAAGTGATTCTATGTTAAGATGGCACCTTGATTTCATCCAGTGGGACTCTTCTTATATTGTTTTCTGAAGGACTGGTGCCATTTCCCTGTTCATCTTCCTTGCTAGCATTTCTGTGCCATTTGCATTGTTCCAGATATCGTTGCAGCTGGAGTTTAACAAACACAGATACTATTTTGAACCTCAATCTTACATCGTCTCTCGTGGAAAACAATGCCTCGTCCCTTGGTCTCTATTGACCGCTGCCTCTTTTTATGTTACCACCACCACGGAAGGTACGAACAGAGCTCAAATTCAAAATAGAGACAATGCTATTTTTGTACGACTCCGGCACACAACAAACCAAGAAAAGGACGCTGAGCTCTTTACGACTCTGCTTAGCAAAGAAGAAACCTTCCTGCTGGGAATAAGAGTGAATGTTCCTTAATTTTCTTCCTCTTTCACAGTGGGAAAGAGATTGACAAACTCAGAAAGAGAGAAGGAGCGCAGTGCAGAGGAAAACTATGACTTTTTTTAGGAGTGGCTTTCATATATACAGTGGTGCCTCTATTGACGACGTTAATTCGTTCCAGTCCAGCGAAGTTGCTGTAGAGCAAAAACGTCGTCAAACAAAATTTAAAAAACCATTGAAATGCATTGAAAACCGTTCAATGCATTCCAATGGGCTGAATACCTGCTCGTCCAGTGAAGATCCTCCATACAGCGGCCATTTTCAGTGCCTGTAAAGCGAGGAATCTGTCCTAGAAAACAGTGGGGGGGGGGACAGTTTCTTCAGCCGGTGGCCATTTTGAAACCCAACAATCAGCTGTTTCCTGATCATCGTAAAGTGAAAATCGGTTCCCGAAGCAGGGAACCGATCATCGCACAGCGAAAAAAACCAATTTAAAACATCATTTTGCAATTGCAAAAGTGATAGCAAAAACGTCAACGTAAAGCAGATTCATCGTAGAGCAGGGTAATCGTCCAGTGGAGCACAACTGTATTGGGAAATCTTGGCCCTTCCTATGTTGCAGACTACTTATAATCCTTTACATTTGGGTATGCTACCGGATAGCTCAGAGGCATAACTCAGCCTGTCCTAAGAGTATTGTTCCTGGGGCTGTTTGTTCTACTTTCTTGTACATAAATTGGATATAAGAAAGTCAACATAGGGGTTTCACCTTTTTCTAGAAAACTCTACATAGCTTGGACATCATTTCCCATAGGATATTAAGACTGCTTTAAAAATCAACACACACATGGAGCTATGTGGTCCTCATGCAATAAAATGCTGAAGAAGGTGACATCTGTATTAGATCACTAAAAAATTCATACAATCAATGCACACCTTTGTGAATTAAATTCTCCTTCTTCAGGCACACACCAATATCCTGCGGACGATGGAGAAAAATTATAAAGGAATGTCCCAAAAATTCATGGCCAAAGTTTGCCAGATACACTTCTTAAGGTGCTTTTCCACCCAGCTTATTCAGAGAGCCTGTTTGAATAAATGGGGATAAAATTCCAACCACATGTTACCAGGAGTGAAGCATTAAACCACACATCCCAAAGCTTGGTTATAACCGGCTTTAAACTCACCTCACTGATGCAAGGGTCGTCTTGCCGATGTGTCTTTGGATGGAGAGATGTGGAAAATCACTAAGAATGAGAAAATTTTTGAGTGACTTTCACGCTCCTAATCTGCATGACTGTCTTATGCACCCGTATAATTCTGTCAGGCAAGAAAACAAAACAAACCCAAAATTTAAAAATCCAGAAGACAAAAGTTGTTGTGGCACCCGAAATACGAACCACTCTTTTTAATGTGAGCTTTTGTGGACAAGTCCACTTCTTCAGACACGTTATTCTGCAAATGTTGCATAAAGGACCTTTCTGACCTTACAAAGGATTGCCCTCAGCTCTCGAGTGTTGACCCACAAATGTCAGAAATGATGAGCTTTTGACCCAGCAAGCCAACAACTGGTTTCCATCTCTTTTCTTTCATGAATGAGTAAATCATAGAATTGGAAGGAGCCCTATAAGGCCATCATGTCCAACCTCCTGGTCAAGGCAGGAATCCAAATCAAAGCATATCTGACAGAACGTTCTCCATTTTTCTCTTGAATGCCTCTAGCGCTGGAAAGCTCACCACCTCCTGAGGTAATTGGTTCCATTGTTGTACTGCTCTAACAGTTAAGAACTTTTTCCTGCTATTCATCTGAAATCTGGCTTCCTGTAGCTTGAGCCAATTATTATGTGTCCTTCACTCTGGGATGATGGAGAACAGATCCTGTCCCTCCTCTGTATGACACCCCTTCAGGTATTTGAAAAGTGCTATCCTATCTCCCCTCAGTCTTCTTTCCTCAAGACTAAACATGCCCAGTTCTTTCGGTGGTGTCCACTTTTTGTCCTAAGAAGGAGATATTGGGTCGCATAGGGGTTTTCTTCCTCCACCACCAGCTTGCTCTGAAGAAGCATTCCCTCACTGGCAGGTATTGACAGATGGGGCGGCCATTTTGTATCCTCCTAACTGACTCTCAGAGACCGCCTCAAATAATCACATTGCAGCTGCCTGAACCCTTTTTAAAAAGAGAAGGAAAAACAACAGAGGAATTGGAAATGACAAGCGGGAGAACTAGAGGGTTGGGAGGAAAAGTGGATTTTCATTAGTTTCCATAAGTGGATTAAACTGAGCAGACTGCAGAGAGTCCCACGGGCTCCAATTAGACAACCGACTCCATTGCCGAATTGTTCTGAAGAAGGCGCAATTTGAATAGGAAACACTTTACGCAGCAGGAATTTAACAACGGGAAGAAAAGAAGAGGGGGGGGAGTGCTCCCTTCTGATTCATCCAAATGTCAAGTGCATCGGTTGTGGATTTCATCCATGTTGTCAGGAAACGCCAGTTTTTCCCCAACTAACAAACGTGATTTTTCTTCCCTAGATATCTGGCGCAATTTTGCATAATCATCGGAAAAGATGTCCTTGCGTTTTTGGTGGTTTTGGAAGGAGCAAAGAGAAAATGGACATTCGGTCACAGTGGAGTATCCATGTGCCGTTAATACATCAGTTCACACTTAAAGAAATGTTTCCCATTTTTTAAAAGTCTTTTTGTTCTTGATTTCAACTTTTGGGGGGTGTTATTTATTTATTTCAAATATTTTTACTCCTGATTTTCATCATCATCATTATCTTAGAACTTCAGAGCGAGAAGGGTCTCTATGGATTATTGAATCCAGCCCCTGTCAAGTAAGGCCCAGCGGGGAATCAAACTCCCAACCTCTGGCTTTTAGAGACCCTAAACCACAGAGTTATGAAACAGCTCTTCTTCAGAAAGACCCAAGGTGGCTCACAAAATTAAAAGACAATATTTAATGCTGAAAACGGGAATGGCTTACAACATTAAAAGACAATATTTAACGCTGAAAACGGGAAGTATATGAATATTAAAAAGGATCGAACAAATACCACACTAAGGGACTGTAAACAAGAGCCACACCAAAACCACATTTAAAACAGTAAGGCTTGACCATCCATTTTAAGGCCCTTCTCAGACAGCCGGTCATTGACGGAAATGTGCCTGAAGAGGACGGTCTTTGCCTGCTTGCAGAAAGACAGTAAAGATGGGGCCAGATTGGCGTCCAGTGGGAGGGAGTTCCAGAGTCTGGGAGCAGCAACAGAGAAGGTCTTCTCCCTTATGTTCAAAGGTGGTGGGACTGAGAAAAATGCCTCTCCTGATGATCTTAACACTCAAGCAGGCTTATAAAGGGAGATAGCTGGGGCCCAAGTGGTTTAGAGCTTTATGGGTTAGAACCCGCACTTTGTCAGTTAATCTCTCCAGGATATGAAATGGAAAATATCTTTCTTTACCTGTTTTCCTCCCCGTCTATCACCTCTGCAGTACACGGTGTTTCTTGGGAGTTTCTCGGGGGTATCCCGCTAGCGACATTGATGGATCTCCCTTCATTTTTTAAAGCCTGCCACTTCCTTTGTTCGAGGCGGGCCGGACATGGACGTGATTGATTTTTGTGGCGAAAAAAAATGGCGAGGAGGTGGTGGAAACAGTTCCAAATTATGAACGGCGCGGAGAGGGAGTCGGATGAAAAATGGCTCTTTCAAAACACTAGAAAGAAGGGTCACCCAATAAAATTGATTGGTAGGAGGCTTAGAAGAGGCAATCAGAAGCACTTCGTAAAACACTAACATCCTTTTAGGAAGCTGTGCTGAAGGCCGTCGTGATGGCTGTTAGTAGAGATGGCCATAAAAACCAACACTTGGGATGAGGTATGGTCAGCGAGTCCAGATTCTGTTGTTTATGCCATTCACAACAGCCTTATCCTCACATAGCCTAATGGGAACGGTGCTCTGGCAACATCTGGAGGACACCCATCCACCAGCCCCAAAACAGGCAGACCCCTTTGAGGAATTACGTTTGCTGTCTGGGTTTAACTTCACAGTCAGATGACCAGGTAAAGTCGGTGGTCAGAAATGATCCGATCAACCCAGGCTGGTGCACCAACGATTTCCAGTCTGAAGAAGGCCAGACCTAGCTGTGACAACACATTGCGTGATACATCAAGGCAAAGAGATATTTAAGGAGTAGTTTTACCAGTTCTGCCACCCTCCAGTTTGTTTCCATGGCCAACTGAGAAGTTGAGCCCAGCTCTCCTGAGTCTTAATCCATCACTATACTCACTAAACTTTTCATCATTCAAAGAAATCCTGATAAAACTTCCCTGACCAGGGAAGATACTCTGACATCTTTTTCCCCCCTTTTCCCATTATTAAAACCCTGTGAAAGGTAAAGGTAAAGGTTCCCCTTGACATTTAGTCCAGTCGTGTCTGACTCTAGGGCACAATGCTCATCCTCATCTCCAAGCCGTAGAGCCAGCGTTTGTCTGAAGACAGTTTCCATGATCACGTGGCTAGTGTGACTAGACATGGAACGCCATTACCTTCCCACCGAGGTAGTACCTATTTATCTACTTGCATTTACATGCTTTCAAACTGCTAGGTTGGCAGGAGCTGGGACAAGCGACGGGAGCTCACTCCGTTGCGTGGATTCGATCCTACGACTGCTGGTCTTCTGACCTCACAGCACAGAGGCTTCTGCAGTTTAACCCGCAGCGCCACCACATCCCTCCAGAACCCTGTGTAGGAACTGACAAATCATTCACCAGGGATGGTGATTCCTGCACAGGACTTTCAAATTCCTGCATAGGATGTTGTCATTCCTGCCCAGGATTTGCTGCTTTTTTTTGCCCAAAATGTGGCACTTCCTGCTTTGATAGGATAGGCGCCTCCAACCTCTGTGCTCTTTTAAAAATTATCACAAAGATTTCTCAGGAGTCAGCGAGACCTCCTGAGAGATTTCTCGGCCACGATTTGGCTGCAGGGAAACCTGAGGGAGATCAGACTTGATTCTCTCTCTTCTGTTTCTTGAATGGCGCAAACGGGCCAAATTAAAAATTTAAAAAGGGACTGTGGAACACTTCTCAAAACAGGGCAAGCTGCCCTCGCATGCCCTGGAGAGAAAAAAGGATTTAGAGAGCTTAGTTTTTTGTGTTTTTTTTACAATTTAAATTGTTGTGTCTGCAAGGGTACCAAGAGCCCCCCAGTGATGTAGGAGGACGCTTTTATCCCGTGGGCCACTAGTTGCCGACCTGGGCCTCAACCGATCCCCGTCCCATTGTGATTATTAAAGGGTTGCATGCAGTACCTCAAGCTCTTGGGAGAACGAAAAGGGATCACTTTTTCTTTAAAAGCAATAATAAATAAAATGTATTTTGTAACTCTTCCTGAAAATGTCACCGCTGCTGCTAGGCATCAGATGTCAAGAGTTACACGCAGGCAGTAACTTTCTCAGGATATTAAAAACCCCGTGATGCTTCAAAGCCTCCGATGCTTCCTGAAGCTCGGCTTCTCGACCATTTATTAGTTCATTAGCCCAGACCCGTCACCACCCTGTAAGCACCTTTTGAGGACAAATTGTTTATATGTGCTCTGGCTCTTCAGCAACGTTCCACATCGGTACTCACCTTAGGGTAACGGCGAGCAATCAAGCCGCAACGACGCATACATTCGGCTCAGCCTGCTGGCAAATAACAGCTTGAGATGTTGACCTTGGACAAAAATTCCCATCGTCAGGATCCCCATTAGGAGAATGAGTTTCTTCCAATATAGAAAAATAGCAACGGTGCCGGTGTTTACAATTAATCTCGGTCAGAACACGGGCACGATATTCCACCACAAAACTCAGATGGGTTATGAGCTAAGAAAAAAAAAATGCTCCTCTGGATAGCAACGGTGCCGGTGTTTACAATTAATCTAGGTCGGAACACGGACACGATATTCCACCGCAAAGCTCAGACGGGTTATGAGCTAAGAAAAAAAAATGCTCCTCTGGATCAGTGGTTCTTAATGTGGGCGATAATGCCCCCCAGGGGCGATTTCATTTTTCAGGGGGGCGATAGCACAAAAAGGGGCGGCGTGGGGGCGCTGGAGCAGAAGGGGGGCGCTGGAGCAAGCCAAACCTGTTAAGATGGCTGCAGCCTTTTTACAGTGTGCATGAATATATATTTTCCTCCAATCTTAATTTAGTTTCAGAGTTTTCGTCTTGAAATTTTTAGTTCCTGCATTGTGGTTGGTTTTTATGCCCTTTTTATATTTCTTTTTGCGTCTTAAAATTCGCTTGCAACTAAATCATTAAATGTTACTTTTTGGGGGGCATTTCATTTTCTTGGAATTGAATTTTGTTTTCAGGGGTCGTTGGATTTAAGTGTCATAAGTGAATAAATAAACAAATAAACAAATAAACAAACAAATAAATAAATAAATATCATCACCGCGGGGAGGGAGCGATGATAACTTCCTCAATGGCTCAAGGGGGCGTTTCTTTCAAAAATGTTAAGAAACACTGCTCTGGATCACAAGACTTGGTTTAGAGCTATGCATGGGTCCCTCTGTTTGGTTTGGAGGTCAGCTTGAGGCTGACAAATATATGCTATTTGGAGCGAAAGCAATTTTTTTTTTTGCATTTTTCTACCCCTCTGTGCTTCTGGATCTAACTTGATTTGTGAGGTTTTATTAACCAAATCAATCACAGGGGAAACAAAACTGTTACTGTACTGGGCTGCCAAGTTGCTCCGGTTCGTGTTTTGTTTTTTTTTTCCTGGTTCGTCGTTCAGTTTGTGCCCATCTCTAGCTGACTCCCTATAGGACGCCGCAGGTTTCAGTCTGCAGGAGCTACGAAGGGCTGATGAGGGCTGGATATTTTGAAGGTCGCTCATTCATGGGGTCGCTGTAAGTCAGAGATGGGTGCATGGCACGTGGCAATGGTATACAGAACCCCACTGAGAAATCATCCAGTCCTCAGCACCAGTATTAGAACAGTCCAAGGACAGATTTTAGTGGCTTGTCTGATGAGGTACCAGAAGCCTCTCTATGAAAGATTGGGAGGAAATATATCACTCATTTTCATGCTTTACTCTTATAATGGAGTTGATCTTGTTACTAGCTAAGGTTAACTGCCAAGGAGTCCTGGGGAAGGGGGGTGGAATGGGATTCTAAACCTTGTTTCCAAACCTCAGCCTGCATCACTGATGCTTATCCCTTTATATTTGTGAAGATAAATATTTGAAGGGTAGGAGAGGAAGTGGAAAGTGGGTGGATTGGCAGAAGAAGAAAAAATTGCTTTTAAATCTGACTTCCTATGGGAAAGATACTCAGGGGTTTGTTGGTATTGCTTGATAAGCAGTGATTAAAACAATAATCCTGAATTGTAATCAAAAAGCAGTTGAGTCTCTGAAATTGCTTTCCTGCTAAGCTTCCTCCTCTCAAACCTCTTCTGAATGAGAAGTCTGTAGAGGAAGTGCTAATGGATGGAGCCGTTTTGTTTGGAAATGATTGGTCCCTTAATATATTATTGCATTGTTCCTTGTCTTTCCATCCACTTCAAAGAGAGACCCATAGCTAGAGGCTGGAAGGCTTCTTTCTCCCATACCAGTCATGGGAGAATAGTAAACAGTGGTGCCTTGCTAGACAACGATAATCCGTTCCACTGAAATCGCTGTTTAGCGAAATCATTATCTAGCGAAAAGCATTTCCCCATTAGAATGCATTGAAGCCTGTTTAATGCGTTCCAATCGGGAAGAATCGTCGTCTAGCGAAGATCGGCCATAGGAAAGCCGCTTTGCGAACCGCTGATCAGCTATTTAAATTGCTGTCTTGCGAAGCTTGGGTCCCAAAACACCTGTTTTGCGAGCGCGGAGGAAGCTGTCAAAATCGTCATCTAGCGAAAATCGGTTTGCGAAGCAGGGACCAAACATTGTCCACGAAATTCCCCCATAGGAATCACTGTTTTGCGAATCACCATAGCAATCACAAAAGTCAAGGTCTAGCGAAAAAACTGTCATGCGGGGTAACTGTCTAGCGAGGCACCACTGATCAGGTTTTCCTTATGGAAATAGGTGGTTTGAAGGGCTACTGTCCAACAGCTGTAATGAAATCTCTTTAGGGAAATATGCAGTTTTAATAGCCAAGATCCAGTGGGATGAATCAACAATTTAAAAAAGGGTTACCACGGGAGTTGGTGAGTGCTCCAACACTGGAGACATTAAAAAAAAACGTAGATCATCACCTGGCAGATATGCTTTGACTGCATTCCTGCATTGAGCAGGGGGTTGGACATGATGGCCTTGTAAGCCCCTTCCAACTTCACTTTTCTATGATTCTATGAAAAGACAATACACTAGGGCTGCCTGTACCAGATTTGGGCAAATTCCAAACCAAATCGGTCTGACTTTGTCTGTTTTTGGTAAGGACCAGGTTGAAACAGGAGGGCCAGATTCATTTCCAAGGTGAACCAAAGTGGGGTATAGATAGGTTAGCATTTGGTATGGGATATGAATGCATTCAGCCTTTTTTTTTTGTCATTAAAGCAAGCTGCCAAGGTGCCTAGCATGCAAACGTAGAAGTAACAGAGTGGTAGAGTCTACTAGATGGGTGGGATATAAATCAAATAAATAAATAAAATAAATAAAGTAACTGCCTAAAGTTTTGCAGATTTGCCTCTCTCTCTACTTGTATCGTGTCCCCAAATTTCATCTACTTCAGTGCAAAAACATCCCTAAATAGTTTGGAACTTTACTACCGCTCCCAAAGATGAACTTCCCATGTCACTCACATCCTCAAGGCATCGTTGCCACGGGTGGCTGTCTCAAGAGAGGCTGGGACGTCTACAACTAGTTCTCGAGCCTTCTCTGTGGTGGCCACCTCTTTATGGAAAGCTCTACCTTTGGTGAGAAACCTCAACAGCATCTTAAAAAGCAGAGACATCACCTTGCCGACAAAAGTCCACATAGTCAAAGCTATGGTTTTTCCAGTAGCGATGTATGGAAGTGAGAGCTGGACCCTAAAGAAGGCTGACCGCCAAAAAATTGATGCTTTTGAATTGTGGTGCTGGAGGAGGCTCTTGAGAATCCCCTGGACTGCAAGGAGAACAAACCTATCCCTTTTGAAGGAAATCAACCCTGAGTGCTCACGGGAAGGACAGATCCTGAAACTGAGGCTCCAATACTTTGGCCATCTCATGAGAAGAGAAGACTCCCTGGAAAAGACCCTGATGTTGGGAAAGTGTGACGGCAAGAGGAGAAGGGGACAACAGAGGACGCGATGGTTGGACAGGGTCATTGAAGCGACCAACATGAATTTGACACAACTCCAGGAGGCAGTGGAAGACAGGAGGGCCTGGCGTGCTCTGGTCCATGGGGTCACGATGATTCCGACATGACTTAACGACTAAACAACAACAACAAACCTGTGGAGATGCGCCAGGATTCTTCCTTCCTAATATCCACGAAGCACATAAAAACGTTGCTTTCCACAGAGGTATTTCAGGACACTGCTTCTATAATTATTTTATGTTGTAAGCCACCCTGAGTAGACATGGTCTAGAGGGGCAGGGTATAAATTTAATAAATAAATAAAATAAATAAATAAATAAGAGTTGGTCATTTCATTTTATTTTGACGACTAGGCCCTGTATCCTTTTTATCTTGCCCATTGCTGCCATCTTGATTTTTAGATCGGTTGTTGTGTTAGAGAGAGAGGGAGATATCTGATTTTATATTTTTAGTTTCGGTGGGATTTGGCTGTTCTTTGTATGTTCATTTTACTGCTAGGATCCTCCCAGGATAGTAGCAAAGCCACTAGACGGTGTGGTATAAAACTAGAACAAGCAAGCAAGCAAACAAGCTAGCTAGCTAGCAAGCAAACAAACAAGCAAGCAAACAAGCAAGCAAGCAAGCAAGCAAGCAAACAAGCAAGCAAGCAAGCAAATCAATCAATCAATCAGTCAGTCAATCAATCAACCTGATGGCACATGATAACTATTGAATACTGTATATAAATGCCAAAAGTATTCATTTTTTAAAAAATATGGTAAGAGTGATGGAAATCATTATTATTGCAACTTCATCTCCACTACACCCCACTTCATCTCCTTAAAGGAAAGAAGAGTTCATATATTCTTTGTATGGCTTTTCTGGAATCCTCACTGCTTTTTGATGAACCTCGTTAATTTCCAGCCCAGTCTTCTCTCCTTGCTGCTCCTTTGTACAAACTAGTAATCAATACAGGGTGATAATGAGTTCTCAGGTCCATGAATGAACAAATCTCTCTATTTCACTTGCTGTAACCTTTGCAGTATTTCAAGCATGAGGGTCTTGTCTTATTCTCCATAACAGTTTGCTATGTTTTTTTTTGGGAGGGGAAATGTCTTGGTGAAAATCTATATCTATTTTGGGGTACTTGTTTCCATGCATTTCCATATGCTTTCTCCTCCAATAAGTACCTGTTTGGAAGTGCTTCTCTTTTGTAATCCATGCTTCCTAAAATTAATATTTTCAAAACATGCCCTGGCCTTCAGGGGCAAAACACATGTGGAATGTCCTTAAATGGACAGAAATCTGTTTAAAGACCCACAGGGACTCAATGATTTGGAAGAGGACTGCTCAGCAGTCTTCAAGGCTGCCTCTGGGGTGTGTTTGTGTGTTTGTGTGTGTGTGTGTGTGTGTGTCTTTCAACTCCCTCTCGATTCTGTATCATTCTTCTGGTAGTCTTCTCTGAGTCTTGAGCAAAGAGACAAAAGATAAACAAGTTGTTCTATGCAGGGAAGGTCTTGTGTGTGTGTGTGTGTGTGTATGTCTTTCAACTCCCTCTCGATTCTGTGTCATTGTTCTGGCTGGTAGTCTTCTCTGAGTCTTGAGCAAAGAGACAAAAGATAAACATCTCCTGTCTAAGAACAAGAAATCCATAGTGATGGACATTGAGCAGATCTTCTACCTAATCTTGACTCGCCCCAGTTTACCACCAGCTTTTCATAAATAACTATTGATCCACTGCCGGCTGAGTCGCAAATCCTCATCTAATTCACAGAAGGGAAGTGGAGAAGATTGAGGAAAAGGAGACCTCTCCTTGGTTTGTTACAATCTCTTTAAAAATAAAAAATAAAAAAGCTCTCCAGCTATATTACCTCCTTCCGTCTTCTTAGCTGCAGTTGTATAACTTCTCTTCTCCTCGCTTTTTTGCCTTTTGCAGTCAAGTGTGCCCACCTCTTTCTATGTCCCAGATCTTTTCCTTCGGTTAACCTTTGAGTCTAAACATCCTAGGAAGAAGAAGGAAAAGCTTCGAGGTAGGAAAAGAAAAGTCCCCGATTCCAAAACAAGTTGATGGAGACCGATTTGGGTGAGATCCGGAATGGGTTGAACTGGAATGGCCAAATTCTGGAACAAAGCAAAGTGGATTTACAAACCAGTTCTGATCCAGGAAACAATCTGAACGGGGTGGAAAAATAGTTGGTCCCCAACCTTGTGCCCACAAGTGTTCCAAAAGTCTCCAGTAACCTTCACCACTAGCTGTGCTGGATTGATTCCAAGCTGAAAACCATGGATAATGTCAAATGCTATACATAGTATGGTAGAAGAAAAGAAAAACCGAAAAAAAGTATTTTCAGCATGTATTACCAGAACTGTCCACTAGGGAGAGCCCGAAACCATGCTATATATATCCTTCAAGAATATATAGCTTGGTCTCTGGCTCCCTCTTGTGGCCAGTTCTAGAAAATATCCATCAAGAAAATATCCATTTCTAGTTTTTTCCCTCTTGTGGCCAGTTCTGACAAATGCATCAAGAAAATATACATTTCTAGTTTTCTTTTTATATTAATATTTTTAGTATTTTCAGGTCACAGATAAGTGAAACCGTGGATACCAATCCCATAGATACAGGGGTCCTACTGTACTGGCAGTGTAGACATTATGGGCTAAATCAGGAGAAAATTAAATCTCTTCATTGGCGTGAGTGGCAGAGTGAATTATTTGCATGCGCAAGATCCTATGTTGAATGTTTGGCACCACAATTTGAGATGGTAAAGTAGTACACAGTGGAAGAACCACAGGCACTGGGGCAAATCTCACCATCTGGTTTTCCAAATCGGGACCGCCCAAGATGGCTGCTTCACCGTCTCCAGACAATGCTGGGGATGATGAATGAAATGTCTGAGTTTTCAAGATGGCAGCTTCTTCTGGTGCTACAGTCTATTTTTATGGTTGTCCGGTTGAGAAGATGGAGAGAATGACCAGGTGAGGGTCACATTCCAGGTGGGTCCCACCAGAGACCTGGGTTCTCATGTTTTGAGGTGAAGCAAACTCAGAGGTACTCACTCGGCGGGCCCTACACTTTTTCTCCTATTTTGCTCATCTTCTAGGGTGAGGTTGGGGGTTGGGTCACCTTTCCATTTCATTCACGCTGTGCTCTGAGTGAACGATTCAGTAAGGAATGAAAATGCTGTCACAGAATTAGCAGAGGCAGCTATTTTAGGACTTGACAGTATTTCACAAGTGGAACACCATGGTGTTTCCTTTTTGATTAATTGCATATGGCAACTGACAAGGCGCAACATGGCTAAGAGTGTGAAACAAGCTGGGAAGCATTCAGTCGAACAGCTTTGTCGGGATGATGATTTGAGGGCTTCTCATTCCATCCTGGAAAAGTCCCTTCTAGTCACACAAAAATACAGAGAGCATGCGAGGTTGCAAATCAAACCCCAACATAGACACCTCTAGATCATTCAGTTGTTCCTCACAAGACCTGATTCCCATTGGCTTTATACAAGCCAAGCTTCCTTGAACATGGGTAGGTCTTGGGTTTAGACTTGATTGGGGATTGGTTTGAGGTTTTGAGTTGAGATTGGTCTTCAGCATCAGCTTCCTTCTGTCCCAGCTGTTCCACATCCCCTGTCTTTGATAAAAGAAGTTACATTTTCAGACAACAGCTCCTGGAAAACATCCACCAGTATGGCTGTTTTCCACCTCTGTAATCCCCTCCATCAACATTTTCAGAGACAGGTGGCAATTCATGTTACTTCACACCCTCAGTAGACATAAAGAGTCATGGACCTGTAGCATTTTAAGTACACTTCTGCATCTCTCATAGAGCTTCCATCCATCCCAGTATATAATTTAAGGATTATCAAGAAGACACAAAATCCAGCAAGGTTTCATTCCTACCTCATCCTTTGCTGAGCTGCAGACTTTATTTGAATGCAGGTTCTGTTGGCTAAGCCAGCGAAGATTGGTCACAGCTTCTGAAAAACTCTTTAGTGTCATGCCATGACAGCAGATCTTCAAAAACCGATTGCCCCATGAGGGCACAATTTTATCATCCAACTTGCTATCAAAGGCAATTAGACGTGAGGGCTTCTACTCCAGTTTACGGTAGGAACAAGGATGCCCTTGAAGGAGAGAGATGAGGAGGAAGAGGGAGAGAAAGAGAGAAGGAAGGAGAGACAATTGGAAAATTTCTCAGGGGCAAGCTGTACATGACAGTCCCCTCTGTGATCTCTCTTCCAGATGTTTTTAAAAATTAAAAATATATTTTTGGTGATTGGGAAGAGGAGCACATGAACAGTGGAGACATGCTCACTTCAGGCTTTCCCATATTATACATCCTTCAATAGCTTTTCACCCAATCATGGGAAAGATACTGGGGTCAGGTAAAAGGACCAAATAAGATGAAATCTTCTAATTGTTCGATTTGATCTCTTAATCTGATCTTTTTAAAAATTAATTTGATCTTAATTTGATCTTTTTGGCTTTTTAAAATCATGAACTTGCGCTTTACCCTGAGCAATGAAAAAGACCCGCTTGCCATAGAGAGGGGTTCTCCTCAACAACATCTCTTGCATTCAGCATATGTTGTTTTCTGATTGGTCCACCCAAAAGAAACAAGGGCTTAATTTGCATGTCTCACAGCTGAGGCATGCCTTTCTATGGAAATGTTGTGCGAGGGTTCTAATTCTGGCTGCAGCGTGGCCTTCTCAACAACAGTCTCTGAGCCTGCGTTTTGGAAATTTGTGGCTTATCTCTGGCTCTAGTTTCTTTTTTAAAAGTTGACTTTGATCCCTTTGCTAATCTTTTATCAGTTGTGAAACTCCATCCTCCGCTAGCCCACGGTCTCATAAACCGGGGAAGTCTTTCTGCATAAACAGGAAGACTACAAAACATCTGTAGATGTTTATGGACTGTATCAATAAAAAGGTTTGCAATGATCCTTGAGATTTTATTACTCTCATTATTGATCTTCCGTTTGAGCAGAAATGATAATTAAGCCACTGAGAAGAGCTAACTCCATTCCTAATGATCAAGAAGGAGCAAATTTTAAAAAAAGGCCAAACCCAACCAACATCTTGTATTGTGAGATCATGCCAGGGTTGGATTCTGATCCACAGAAAATGCACATCTGGAAGTGTGGGGAGAGAAAAGAGGGAGGGGGAGAGGAAGCTGAGCTGCTGCAGTAGATGTGGGCAGAGTTTGGTCCCCAAAATATTTCTGGATGCAAATGACATCATGGTGTGCATGCACGTGTTTCTGTCATGTAAGGCCCTGGGTTTGTGACCAGTTTAGGATAAAAGTAATTTTGAAGATAAATAAAAATAGCCATGCATTCAGCTCACTGGAGCTTTACTTTAAATCTTAGATCTAGACAAGTGTCTGGATTTAGCTAAAATGATACAGAAAGTGTGACTTTACTGATGCATCTTAACTATACCATTTCTTCTTCTTCCTTGCTTTACACTCCTCTTTCCTTCTCTAAGCATCTCCTGCAAGAGGTAATGAGATTTCTGAGCTTCCTTCGAGGGAGGGTTTGCAGTGAGTACATCCTGCACCAGGCATCCAGTGGAATGGGCATCAACTCGGTCCCACACAAGGTATCATCCACTTTTAGCTTGGGGCCAGGCAGCTGGGCACAGAGAATATAGTAGGAAATTCAGAAAAGCAGCCTCTGCATTTTGATAGTAAGACAGCAACAATGCAAGGCTTGATTCCTCTACACTGCTGGATGACTGATTCATTTGGAAAGTCATCATCATCACCATCCCCTACACACAAAAGACCAGCTAATGACACCCAGCAACCACAGTGACAGATAATCTCTTCTCCTTAGCACAACAATACACCCACAACGAGACACACTAATCACCCATCTACAGAAAAAGACAAAAGCCTATCTCACAGCCTTAAATACTGCACTCCCAAGCCAACTACACCAGAGCACAGAGTGCTGTCCTCTGAAGATGCTGGCCACAGAAACTGGCAAAACGTCAGGAAGAACAATCTTCAGAGCACAGCCAAAGAGCCCGAAAAACCCAGAACAACCATTAGATCCCGGCTGTGAAAGCCTTCGCAAATACAATGTGTGTTTTCCATATTTCGGTCATTGAAGAACATTGGTCCTTGGCTGGCGACGTTCATCGCAGCATGGAAGACAACAGAAAATAACCAAAAGAAATTTTCCAGTCCTGCATGATTATTTTTAGAATTGGGAAAGCTCCAGGGGACCGTCAACAACTGGGCCGAAAGAGAACATAGAACTCTCCCAGCACAACCACCTCACACATTCTTTCCTGTGCTATCTATAGCTCTACTGGTGTCTCTCTGCAGCTTCCTAACAGCAGGGACCACCATCTGTCCACATATTCCAGTATAATCCTTGACTTTTCTTGGAACATCTCCATCCTTGTCTTTTTCTTTTGGTGATATCTGTTAGAGCAGGCCTAGAAATGTATTGCTATCTTTCTATGATTTCCAAAATCCGTTGGCTAATGTTTCCACCTCACATGGCCTTCTGGGAGGGTTGAAGTAGTCCTACAAGGTTCTGCTGTCTTCCTAAGGTTCTCTGAACATTCCCAAAAAGGCTGAGCTAGAAAACGGAACCTAAGAACAATCAAGGAAGTAGAAAGGCTGTCCACCAGATTCAAACAAATTCCTAATTGAATCAGCTTGGTTCAGACTAGTTTCTACAAAGACCAGACCAAAATGGGATAGCTAGATTCAAAGACAATTTACAGATTGATTCCGATTAAGGTGGAAATCATTTGACTCAAAATGTTTTCTCCTTTTTCAATGCAAATTTTCAAGCTTTCTTATACACATACCTTGCTTTTCCTACTTTAGAAACTCATGAGCAGCAATGAATAAAATATTTAAATAGCATAAGATGGTTTGATTATCTTGGAGGCCTACCTAGCAGCAACAAATTTATCAACTACTATATAGAAATAAGGATTTTTATCTTCTAAACGTGTAGGGACACGGTCTTCAGAGAATGGCTATTTCTAATAAATCAAACCAAGGCTTAATCAAGCACTTTCTCATGGTTGCATAAAAAGGCCAATAACATAAAATATGTTAAAATATATCCAAGCCTAGTGCTGGATAACATGGACTCTTGCGGAGTAAGGTTGTCCTGACAATCTTGCTTGCAGTTGTAGCAGGGGTAGTTGAATTAGTCTGTGCAAGCATTATAGACGAACACGAAAGAGAAATAAAAGTTTTTTAAAAAGACAAAAACATGGTGGCATCTTAAATACTAACTTTTATATTTTTTATGTGAGTTTTCATGGATGAATCCACTCCACCATGTCTGATGTCCATGATACGTTTTCCAAGGTATGAGTAAAGACGTATCATGATTCCATTCAAATTACAGTCATGATTTTTCCATGTTACATGCATGTACCAATCAGCATACACAAATGTGCAAATTAACATGCTCTTGCATGACTTTCCTCTTCTGAAGTCATGCATATATTGGTCACTCTACCATGGTGACGCCACCTCCAGCTCATCAAATCTCCAGAATTTGAGTTCTGATGCAGGCCGTGAAGAAGGTGAGATGAGAATGTGTAAGATCATCTCCCAAGTTCATAGCAAGCAGATTTTTCAAACCAATGGGCTTCCTAAATTATATCTTTAAATGCAGTTGAAGCCAGTGTTTCCTAAATTATATCTTTAAATGCAGTTGAGAGAGAAAAAGGGAACACATCGATTTCATGGGGTGAGCGAATGTGCTTGGAATGGTTAGAGGAACTCTCCAAGGTGCTGAACTTGCTAGGATAGAATTCAGCATCATGGCTAGCGCTTGTAAAGTTCGGACTAAATCAATGACTAGATTCCCTTCTCATGAAATTGGAGCTACCCCTTGGCTAGTCGCCTTCAGCAACTTGGAGGTTCCTTCATGCTGCCATCAATTCTACTTCACTAAAACAGACTCCAAGAGGACTGCTGGATAGCTCAGTGGATTAGGTCTCTGGCTGCAGAGTCCAAGGTTGGGAGTTTGATTCCCCTCTGTGCCTCCTTCATGGGTTCTGGACTCAGTAATGCATAGGGTCCCTTCCAGCTCTACAATTCTATGATTACCATCATCATCATTACAGACCTAGATAATTACAGATAGGAAGGAATATATGGTAGAGCAGGAGCTAGCTGTGTTGTGGAACATCCCTGCCACAAATCTTGATCTTCGTTTGCTTTGTCCCTCTTTTTCATAGGATTTTCTTTTCTCTTGGACTCCCACTGTTTAAGGCTTAAATGTTACCCTAAGACATGACATCTTTTTCATCAAGACAGCCTCTGCACCCTGATCAATGACTGCAGTGGGGAAGGATAAACTGATTGTTTTTCAAAATCCTTTAAAAAAAAAAACAAACTAAAACCACTTCTTTATTTTTAGAGGCAATTATGCACTAAGAGATGAGCGATGTTCTAAAATGATGATGATGATGATGATGATGATGATGATGATGAAGAAGAAGAAGAAGAAGAAGAAGAAGAAGAAGAAGAAGAAGAAGAAGAAGAATACAAGGCTTAGAAAAGTTAAGCCTCTATGAGGAAGAAGAAGAAGAAGAAGAAGACGACGAATGCACGGCT